TGTATATGGGGGGTAGGGTCAATTATGTACCAATCCTTATAAAATTTAGCAAAGACATTTAGGTTCCTATTAGAGTTTGGGGTTCGGGAAATCCCGTCCGAGAAGATGGAAGACAGTTTCTTCCTTTTCCCTGCAACTGCGAAAGTACTCATTGCAGGGTAGCCCAATCCGACTTGCATATCTGCCTAGCACTCAGTGTCTTGTTATTACTACTATCAACCTCGTATTTCGGGTTATAATGTGTCTTGTGCATTTCTCATTGAAAGAAGGCCACAATGCCATACATCTATCTTCAGCATTCTGAAGAAAGAATGTAAGGATACTACTCTGTATAATACCTAACGGAGTTGCTGATCCCGTTCTACTTAGCAAACTCATCTGCCTATTCATTTCCATAAAAGCCCATATGCACTGGGATCCAATCAAAGACAAGGACAGATCATTCTTGCGAATATACTTAGTGGAAGAATATTTTTATGTTGCCGCGAATATTGAGATCATGTAGTACCGTACAGGTTTGATTTAAATAAGTAGATATGTTTAAAATTTTTCGTTGGCAAAATTAAAACAATGGTTTGATTTGTTCTCAAAAGAGAGAATATTTTAGATATCGCTAAATTTATAAGAAAGTTGTTTGTTTTTGTTAAACAATTTTGTTATTATAGTTAAGAATTTAGTTTTTTCCCGGAAATCACGGGAAATTCATTTTTTCATTTCCGTTTCCGGGAAATTGAAAAGTCCGGGAATTCCCAAACTCTAGTTCCTATAAAATATGTTCATGTCGAATATTAGCGCTATAGATGATTTTTTAGGTAGTTATGAGCTTTTAAGTCATTTTCTGAAGAGGACCTTATATGGCGGGTAGGGTCAATTATTACAAAGGGATTTAGGTTCCTATAAAACAAGTTTATGCCTAATTTCATCGCTATAGATACTTCTTTTAGATAGTTATGAGTGTTAAAGTCATTTTCTTAAGGGGGCTTTATATGGCGGATATGGTCAATTATGGACCGATCCTTACAAATTTTTACAAAGAGATTTATGTTCCTATAAAACGTGTTTATGCCTAATTTCACAGTTAAATATGCTTTTATTCACTTATGAGCGTTAAAGTCATTTTCCGAAGGGGACCATATGTATATGGGGGCTAGGCGATATCGTGAACCAATATTTCCCATTTTCAATACCAAACAAAACATCTGTGCAAAATTTCAGGTTTCTTTTCCGTTTGGACTCTATCGTGTTCTCAACTGACAGACAGACGGACAGACATGGCTAGATCTAATAAGCACCCAGAATATACATACATATATACTTTTATGGGCCTTTGACTAATATTTCGATGTGTTACAAACGGAATGACAAAAACAATATACCCCCATCTTTTTTGATGGTGGGTATAAAAAAAATCCTTTAAACTGGCTTATTATTATTATGATAAACCGAAATAGTAGATAATTAACGCCCCAAGTTTGACCTATAGAAATTTATTTACATTAAATAATTTTATCTACATTTTTTTTAAATTTATACTTTTTATACTTTTGTAATCACACCTAAAAGTTTCATACGACAATGAAAAATCTTACAGATTCTTTGCAAAAAATATAAATAAATCCTTGAAATAAATTTTTATTTTCGGTTAGAACTTCCATTTTGGGACCACCCTATTGTATATATCCCGCATTTACTATAAGATTGGCATAACTTAAATTTCGTTTTTTTTTTTTTTTTTTTTTTTTTTTTTTTTTTTTGAACTGTGTATTACAAAATATATCCCTATAAGAAATGAATGACCGAAACTAACACATACAAAATGATTTTACTAACACACATGCAACATTCTTTTATAGAATTGTCGAAAAAAATTTTAATGGACGATTCCATCAACAATGACAGCCAAATGACCGGTCAAATGACTGTCACTGTGTTACAGAGTTGTATTAATTGTTTCACTGAGAGCCAAAGATCAAGAAGCAAAGAACTAAAAAGATTACAAAGTCTTTAAATTATTAAAAATAAACAGAATTATTATTAACTAAATTTTAAAAAAGTGCAGGAAGTGGATCAGAAGATAAACAATTCGGATTTTAATGGTAACATAAATATGTACTTATGGTTTCTATATTTCGATATTATGTACATATATTTCTTTGCAGACAACTTATTTCCACAAATTAATAGGAGCATCAAAGGACTTAAGATTCTACGAGACATGTAAAATGATGAAAAGATTAGTATTTTATGTACATATATCATTACTATATTAATAAAATTAACAATATATAACTTTAAATATTAATAAATTGTGTTTTATTATAAACTAGTATATCCGTCAGCATTTTTATTTGTTAACTGTGATGGATATATCCATCAATCATGATTAGTCAATCGTGACTAATATTTATATCATCCATGATTTGTAAACAACAAAAGAGTGAGCAGCTCAAAAATATGTTTTAAAGTCGATAGAATTCATAAGTGCGAGGGTGATGCAACATCACATGTACACAAATGTTTCCATCACTTTTTACATATTGCCCTTAAGAAAGTGATGGGAGCTTTGTTCTACGCAATGATGGGTATATTCTCAGTAGTGACAGTCAATTGACCGGTCAAATGACTGTCACTGTTCTTATAGGGATATAAATTTATATAAAATTTTCAAAAATGTCTACAATTTAGTTTAAATTCAACATATTATAATATAGCTTATTTATCTGATTTTATATTTGAAATCCGATAATTTAGATAAAAGTTATTTTAGGAATTGTAAAATGACATAAAGCCCTTTTCCTTGAAACGTCTTTTTTACATTACACCAGTTGAAGTAAATGAAGGATATGTACATATGTTTTCATTATAATCTACATGAACTTTTTTTGTCAGTGTTAATACTAACACAACACATGGCTGTAAAATTTTGTATTTAATACAACACAGTGCAACTCTGTTCTAATTAGAAAAAAAAAATAAAAACACATTTGACAGTTGCCGTCCAATTGAGAAAATCGGGAAAAATTGGTTGAAAATCGAAAATTGTATTAAAAATATTAATTAAAAACAATCAATAACGTCTAATTTGTTTAATAAACTAAAAGGAGTTTTAACAACAAAAATATTTGCCAACAAAAAACTAAAACAAATGGTAATTAAATGATATATAAAATATGCTACAAGGAGCGATCAACGATCACTCTAGAAGATCTGGGGCGAGGTATAAAAATAATAATAAAGGGAACAAGGTTATCGAAAGTTCAAATTACATACTAAATATGTTTTTAAATGGATATGTTCTGTTAAAGATAAAATTATTAAAAATTTCTTTGAAGGTTCAACTAAAGCGACAATTTGTTTTCTAACACTTTTCTGGAACTTATCTAATCTTTCCTGGACAACAGTCTATTTTAAATTTCTATCTCAAAGCGGAAATATTTTAATTTGCTGTTAAACATGTTACCTGCCACTATATTTCGCCAAGTTTCCCGTCACCCCAGTGGTCTTTGCAAGGGGCTCACAGAATTGGTGGGCGGCGCAAAGACATCCTCATTTCCTCCACCCACAGCTGTTATCAACTGTCTGAATCGTTATGCGGCTGCTACTGGCTTCATACGCATATCTTTTTTGGATATTAATCAATATCGCAATTGGGATGTGGCCACTTTGCGTATGTATGCCGATAGCAAGAAGCACTCCTTGCACATGAAAACTCTGAAGGGACGTGATATTCTGCAAGGTGTCATCGATAAGAAACGAGAATCTTTTATAGAACGTAAAAATGTTATTGTGGGCGACATCCGCGAGGCCAAGCACAAAGTGCAGGAGAGAATGCGTGAGAAAATGGAGGAGGTGTATGAGAAGGAAAATATTATGACCATACCAAATTTGTTGACTATGAGTCGTATGATTTTGTCTCCTTATATAGGTTATGTAATTGTGGATGGCCATTATAGTATGGCCATAAGTTTGTTGGCCGTAGCTGGAATAACAGATTTGGTGAGTATATTTGGAACAGCACATACATATAAATAATTGTTTAACATTCTCATTTACGTATGTATTTGTTTTCAGCTTGATGGTCAAATTGCCAGAAGATGGCCCAGTCAGGCCAGTAAAGCTGGTTCGTTTTTAGATCCAGCTGCCGATAAAGTGTTAATGGGTTCTTTGGTTATTTCTATGGGTTATTGTGATCTACTGCCATTGTGGTTAGCTGGTGTTGTACTGTTTCGTGATGTGTTCCTAATAGCTGCTGGATTTGTTATACGTTATATTAGTTTGCCACCGCCAGTAAGTCTAATATTAGAAAACTAGTCTTGTAGAAACTAAAATTGTTAAATTTTTTTATTGCAGCGCACTTTTTCACGTTATTTTGATGCCACACATGTTACTGCTCAATTGGAGCCCACATTTATAAGCAAAGTCAATACTGGTGTGCAATTGGCCGCCGTTGGCATCAGTTTAGGCGCTCCAGTTTGGCACTATATGGGTAAGTTTAATTTTCAAAATAATTCTACCCTATTTTTATTAATAAAAACTAATATTTCCTCTACAGATCATGTGGCTCTTCATGGTCTTTGGTATTTAACCGGAGCCACTACCGTAGCAGCTGCCTTAAGCTATGTAGTTAATAAGAATACTTTTAAAATTTTAGCCAAGAATAATAACACCCCCAAAACCTCCAATAAAACGTAAAAGGAAGTTGTGTTAAAACTAAAAACAACAACGATGAATGGAAAAAACTTCCTTTACAAGACGCCTTAGCTTAAGCTATTAAGCTTTAAACTACCAAAATATCCTTTGATAATATCACTTACCCTCCCAAAGGGATTGAACTTTGTAAATTCTTTAAGAAAAGTATATATTTTTCTGTTAGCTTCATTTTATTACATTTATTTAGTTAAGTTTAATTTTCCTTAGTTGTGTTCTTTTTTTTAATTTTGGCAATTATTTTTTGTTCGTTTGTTTTAGATTTACTTATAAGGACTGAAATTTTCTTAAAGAAAACAAAATGACTCTAATAAAGTTTGCAAATAATAAATAAATTAGTTGTTACAATCGTTTATAGGAAATCTCACTAGTTATCATTCTGTAATTTAAGAGCTCGTTTCTCCATAACCCGATAATAGAGAGTAGGACTAAGAAAACGTAACCAGTAACCAAGGCGAGCCTGTAAGTCACATACTAAGATATCCTTTTCATTCTTTAACAAAGCCTCCAAGATACGTTGGGCACAAACATCAGCACACATGCCTTTGGCTGTAGTAGCATCCATTTCTATTTTGATTTAAGAAAAGTATGTTCAATTTATAAGTAAATTGAATTAAGAAAATCTCATAACTACTTACTGCCATGCTGCTGTCCCGTAGAGGTTAAAGCATTTACCGAAAGTTGTGTTCTTATATAACCAGGACTTACGCACGTTACCTTTAAACCCTTAGAGGCCACTTCAGCTCTTAGTGAATCAGAAAAGGCTTGTATGGCATGTTTAGAGGCTGAATATGCCGAACGGTAGGGTAAAGCAAATTTGCCTTGTACCGAACTAATAAAGCAAATATGACCTTTTTCTCTTTTAACCATGGATGGTAATAGAGCCTTTGTTAGAGCCACTGAACCAAAGTAATTAACAGTCATTACTTTTAAATCCACATCTAGGGCAGTAGTTAAGGCATCTGCCCTAACACTAATGCCACCATTGTTAATGAGTATATCAATGCCATTATAAATATTAACTGCCTTAGCAGCTACAGCTGGTATGGCATTTAATTCTGCCAAATCTAAGGGCAGAACTGTGGGAGGATAAGCAGGCCCCACCTAAAATGTATATAAATAAAAACATTTTCTTTTGGACACAATTTGTACTTCCAAAACATACCACTTCTATAGATAACAAATCCTTTTTCACCCTTTCCAATTCCTCGACACGGCGAGCAGCTAATATAACTTTACAGCCTGCTTTATAGAAGGCATGAGCCAAAGCTTCTCCTAAGCCTGAACTGGCTCCAGTTATTAATACTACTTTACCGGGTAGACGTTTACGTTCTTTGGCTATAGCATTTCTTGTCCAGACATCAAAGAGCAAGAATGGTATAGCGACGGGCATACATATCATACCCAATATCCAATACCAAGGATTACAGTCGTTTGCAGGCGACGGTCCCATACATTTTCCACCTTGTTGGCAAGACATTTTATGCAACTTTACTACTGAACTTTGGTCTTTGTTTTAGAGTATGACCAACCCAATGTTTTTAATGTAAACAAATATAAATTTTCTGCGTCTTATCAGCTCATAGACTATTAATATAATAATCTTTGAATCTATGTTTACAAATGTACACTTACTAAATGAAATCAATCGATGAATATATTTTTGGTATCTATTGTTTACATTTATTTGTAAAATTCAAAAATGTATTTTCCACCCCAGCTGCTGTTTTTATAACGAATTTCATGAACAAAGAGGAAAAGCACTTTACACTATGTTTAGGTCGACTCTACCGTCAAGAAACTATCGCCGGTAAAAATGTTTCTACACATGTCGACTTTACAATAACAATAATTATCTCTAAACTTCAAATACAATGCCAATTCTGAAAAAGTATTCCAACTTCTTTTTAAAGATCTGAAAGAATATTTTATTTTTAACAAATTTTTTGCGAAGTTATTAATATTCTTTTTCATTTCTTTGGCATTGTTTACATTTACCTGCATGTGCTACCAAGTTAAGAAAACTCTAATACCAGCTGACGAATTTCAAGCAGAAAATGAAATGATGTATATCAGCTGGTATCTATTTTCTACCAGCTGTTGAGTGGTTACGCATTTGTAAATAAAATGTGAATACAATTTCACTTTTTTGGAAATATATTGAAAATATTTATAAAAATTAATTAAAAATGTTTTCAATAATACGAAACTGCTCTCCGCTCAAACGGCTGCCCTTCAAAACACTCTGTCTACAAGAAAACCCATTAAATTCTCTAATTATACCTATATCCTACGTTCACACTACACCGGTATGTAAAACATTTTGGGAACGTGAGAAAAAATCCGGTTATAAAACTTCATTGCCGCAACCATCCAAAAAGAAATTGATACTAGATGGTTTGAGAGAACTCAAAGAGGAAATTCACTTATGGAGCGAAGAAATGAAGGAAAAATTAGAATCAGATCCCATACTTGTTTATCGACCGGGTGAAACTGATATTGTTTTTAATTTCAAAGATAAATCATCATTAGATAAATGGATAGTGACTACCGATATGGATCATAATGAAGGTAAAAGTACAGCTTCATTGGAATTGAGTAATTCGGGAGCGGGTCTCTTTCATGGAGAGGTCAATTCGGAACACATTAAGGATGGTGTTATAAAGAGAACGGGTTATGCAAATATACGCACGAAACGTGTGAGAGTAAGTAAAGTTTTCAATTATTGAAAAAACGATTTCCTCGTTGTAAATATTGCTTTTAACATATTTGTTTTCCTTCTCTGCAGAAATCATTTAAACGTGAGGCTACTTATGACTGGAGTCAATACAATATGTTGGTTTTAAAAATACGTGGTGATGGTCGTAGTTATTTAATTAACTTACACTGCGAAGGCTATTTCGATTTGATGTGGAATGATGTTTATCATTATGCCCTGTATACAAGAGGTGGACCACATTGGCAAATAGCTAAGGTAATAATGTCTTAAATTTATAGTAAAATAAGCTACTATTTTTATAAATTATTAAATTCTTGCAGATCCCTTTTTCGAAATTCTTCTATTCATCAAAAGGACGTGTACAAGATCGCCAACAAGCCATACAATTAAATCGCATTACCCATTTTGGTTTTTCGGTAGCTGCTAAAAATGGTATGGATGGTCCCTTTAATTTAGAAATCGATTATGTGGGACTCGAATTCGATCCTAGTCATCGTGAAGAATTTGCTTATGAAATGTATCAAACACCAAAATATATTGTAGCCACATAATAGAAAGTTTAACGATTGAATAGATAACCAATTTGTTAAAAAAATTAAATTTTGTTTAATAATACTAATTTGTCTTAATTAATTGCGCTCCACAATATTATATAAGATTAATTATGCACCTAAACTTGTGAAAATTATTAAATGGATTAAATCATTTAAGCCCTTTAAGGGCTTATTACCATAGAACTTGGGGGAATAATTGTTATTAAACTAATTTCTATCCCATTTAATCACAAAAGCGATATTAACAACTAAAGCTCATTAGGATTCGTCCTTGAACCCAGAATAATAGAATTCCTTTTGTAGCTTGTCTAAAGCTAAGGAGTTATTCAGCTTAGCGCTATTTCACTTTATTAAGTGAAATATGTATAACAATTATCGTTTCAGACACAATGAAAACTCCAAAAGATTTATTTTCACCTGATCTTTCAAGTATGTCGGCGTTTTGCTGAGTCAATTTCACATACACATACATACATAGTTGCTATTAGGAGAAAAAGTATTTGGAGAATTTGAGTTTTCTTCCAAGAAATAAATTAAACCTTCTCAACATCCGAGAAAATGAAATAGTTCTGACAAACATTGCCTCCAAATTGAAATAAAATAAACTTGTACTCACTTTGTTTTATATTTGCGGAACCCATGTCATCAATATTACTTCAATTGCTTAATTTTTTAATTAATTGCAGTCTTTACATTTAAGGAAATTAATTTCAATGAACACCGAACACAACATCTCCGTTTGCTATTTCACTGATTACTTTATTTTATTACTTTAGTTATATGCAACACTTTACACATATTATTAGTCATTTAGTTAATGTTTTAAAACACTCTTTTCCACTATTTTACAAATTATTTTAAATAATTTTAACAATTCACACTTTTTTCACTGTGCCGTTATTCTTTTTTTCATTAGCAAAGCTTTTAAAGAGCGGCAAAATTGACAGCTCATAAAAATGTGTTGTAAAGTGCAAAAAATAATAAGTAGTGTTGTAAAGTGTTATTATTTTTTAAAAGAAATTGATTAATTAATTCATTTATATACATTAAGCAAAATCTTCAATGAATTTGATTTTTTGAAAACGATAAATAAAATTATTAATATTGTACTGTATTACTTATGGTCTTAAATTTATTAAGATTATACCAAATATAAAAACCCTTACATCTCTATAAAGCGGATGTAGTGTTGTAAAGTGAAAACCTAAACTTAAAATTGACTGACCTAAAGAATCAATACATACAAACTAGGGTTCTATAAATCGACTTTCGAATAATCGAACAATCGACTTTTTGTCGAAAAAAGTCGAAAAGTCTAAGTCGACTATTTTGTTCCAAAAAAGTCGATAACTCGACTATCGTCTGTGAAAAAAAGTCGACTTTGTTAATAAAAGTCGAAAAGTCTGACAGTCGAAAAAAGTCGATAAGTCGAAAAAAGTCGAAGAAAGTCGAAAAAAGTCGAAAAGTCGGAAAATGTCGAAAAAAGTCGGAAAAAGTCGAAAAGTCGGAAAAAGTCGACTTTTCATAAAATGCAAAAAGTCGAAAAGTCGACTTTTAACTAAATGAAAAAAGTCGAAAAGTCGACTTTTCGTTTCAACTATAGAACCCTAATACAAACATTTACGAAATCGAAACGAGAATTTTTCATGTGGACTTTCATCAACAATATACAACCTGCTGTTCACTTATTTGAAGCACCCTGTTTAAAAGGTCATTTACTCGACTTATTTTTCTCTTTCAATCTTTTTTAACTCTCTTTTTTTTGTCACATAGAACAAATCTCTTAAATTTTTGTTTTGTTTTTCTTCCTACATCTTGGTTTATTTGTTTATCTTAAACAAAAAAAATTGTATAATTTACTTTCATTTTTATTAATTTTATTATATTATACCTATAGCAAATTATTCATTTAACAATAAATAGCTAAAAGTTAAATAATATAACGCAGCACATACAAAAACTAGAAAATAAACAAACTATCGCTACAAACAGAAAATCTAAACCGCCAGCCCTCAGTCTTCCATTGGTGGTGATGTTGGCAGAACGTTTACTTGCTTAAACAAGGTGCTGGCTGTATAACCTAATATCCATATCATTAGAAATCAAAAAAAGTTAAAAAACAAAAAATTATTTATACGTTGAGTTTGTATTACAAGCTGCAACGTGGAATTGGAGTTGGTAAAATATTTTTTATCTAAACGAGAATTGCTGATAAAAGAAATGGTATGTTGTGTATTTAATTTATTTTTTGCGTATTTATTGTAAAACTTTTGACTAACTAAAAAATTGATTCATTTGCTTCAATATTGTATAAAAGTTTTTTTTTTAATTTCTGTTAAGTTCAATAAACTTTTTCTTATAAAAACCGTTAATGCATGCACGCTACTAAATATCAGATAATTTTTTAATTTATGCATTTGGTGTTTTCTATAAAAAACAAATAAAGGGTCTGTCAAGTCTATTGTCTGATACCCTACTTCAAATTCAATTAATTTTTGGTGGTATTTTGTCATAAAGGAGCTATCATCAATTATACCCCTACAATATGTTTTTGCTCTTAATATAAATTTGTTAATAGAATCATGCAATTAAAAGGGATTTTTGGAATTGATCTTAGCTTTGGACTCGATCATCACAAAATTTCCTAGGAGGAAAAATGTCACAAATATTCATAAAATATTGATTGCAGTTAACGAATGCCCATCTCGTGCTCATTTAGATAATTTAGACTGTAAAATCAATAATGTGCATTTACACTGTGGTTTGGGAAAATGATTTAATTCAGAATAAGTCAAATAATTTGTTGATAAATTAATAAAACGGTTTATTAGGACACTATTACTGGTCTGACTATATACTTTTCAAGATTTATTATTGCAACAGTTCCTCTTTTATCAAATATTCTTTACTCGAGTAAAGATAAAAACATTTTTAGTGATTTAGCTATTTACGATAGTGCAAATCTTAGTTTTAGCCAATAACATTTTAATCATTATACTTGAAACCACTGTCTTCCAAAAAGCCCCCACTTGAATTACCGTTTTGTTGACTTTACATATATTTTCTACTCAAAATACTACACACAATACCATACACATATGTATGTATAATCTACCGGTTCAGACTGCATTTTATTTAAATATATTTTTGCTCTTTAAGACGGGTTTTCTTGTTTGTGCCATAATAGCCTTCACTCTGTCTTTAAAGGTTTTGTGTCTTTGTTTTATTTGCTAGTCTAAACATATTTTCTTAATTTTTTTTTGTTTCTAGCTGTTATAGATAAACATACGAACAGACATATACATTTATTTCTAGACAAGTTACACCCCTTAATTTTTTATTAGTATCTCAGCATTTTTAACCATATCAACTTGAAATGTTAAAGAAAGTGTTTCTCAAACCAAGCAGGTTTAAAATCATATACATATGTATGTAACAGACACGTACCAGAAGACCTTGTGTGGAATTGTTAATAGCAGAATTCAGAAAACAAAATATACGTATGCTCTATTAAAACCGGTAACAATTTTAAATGCATTGTTGTTGGTAGTATTCGATTGATTGGTTTTCCTTTTAGTCTCTAAAAGTCTTAAAGAAAACATCAACATTTAGATGAGTTTTGATTGTGGTTACGTTGACACCTTTTGGTTAAAAAATTTTCAAAATTACTCAAATATAAAATTGAATTTAAATTCAAATAAAATGGTGGGCTGGCAGGTAAATAAGTGATATTTAATTTACATTAAGTGGAAAGAAATTATTATTAACTTATAAAGTTATTGCATTTCTAATCTAATAGTTTTGTTTGTTGCAATATGTGTTATCTGTTGTGTTTGATTTGTTATCTTTTATTTACTATTTCTGGTGTAACTTGTTTTTGATTTTTTTGCGTTCTTTTTAATATTAATTAATTTCTGTTTTATTTTTAGGAAGAAACGTATCTTTATGACCCTGATGTGTTATTGAAATTGGATTTCCATCAAAGTCCTGCTAAGTTTAATCCTTTCATTTCCGCCGCTTGTCCCGGTGAATCTTGGCTTAAAGTTCGCCCCTTAAAAGATGGCGACTATGATCGTGGTTTCCTGCAGTTGTTGTCGCAGTTGACACATGTTGGCCCTGTCTCGAGAACACAATTTTTAAGTGAGTTTTTTCATTATTGTTTTAAGCATAGGTGTAAAATTTTGATTACGATTAATAATCAATTAAATTATTTTTCAAAAATAATCGTAATGATTATTTAATTCTCTGGTATAAAATTTGTGATTATTAATTGATTACGATTAAAATTAATCTAAAAATAATCAGGATTAATTTAAATTAATGAAAATAATCAGAATTAATCAAATAATTAATTTGATTATTTTAAAGGATTAATTTCGATTATTTTTGATTAATTTCAATATATTTGCTACAATTCTCTGTCTTTTTACATTACGTGTAATGGAAAACTGTTTTCCCAAGTTACACACTATTCGATTATGTGAAATGGGTCTCAAAAAATCCGTAATTTTTAGCGGATTACCGATTATGTTACTTTTTTTTTATTGAAAACAATATATTTATCAAGTTTATTTCGTTTGAAAATCTTGATCTCAGTACAACATATTAGAAAAAAATGATATATTATATATATAAATAAACTTGATATATTTATCAAGTTTATTTCGTTTGAAAATCTTGATCTCAGTACAACATATTAGAAAAAAATGACTGCAATCTTTTCGAAATGGGTCTCAAAAAATCCGTAATTTTTAGCGGATTACCGGAAAAATTATTAAATTATTCTTAGAGTTTTTTTTTTGGGACGAAATTATACTAAATATATGGAAAATAATCAAAATTAATCCATGAAAATAATCAACTAATTTTTTGATAATTTTGATTTTTTTTTTGATTATTTTCATTAATTCCAATTAATCCCTGATTATTTTTAGATCATTTTTAATCGTAATCAATAATTAATTAAAAAAATGGAAAATAATCGTTAATTAATCATTAATTTCACCTTTATAATAAAAATAATCTGATTAATAATGATTACGATTATTAATCATTATTTTACAGCTATGGTTTTAAGGCAGGGAGTTATTCCGTAGTTTGATTCGAAATAAAAGGTTTTAAAAGATACTAAATATATTGAAAAAATCAGAATAGAAATTGAAATAAAATAATGAAAAAAAGAATTCTTGTTCCAGATGTTTAGTTTTTCTCCGATAAAAAAATAATTAAAATTATACAAACATTTTTATTGTTGTTTTTATTTTCAGCTCGTTTTTCCCAAATGAAAGCAAGTGGTGACTATTTTGTGACCGTTATAGAGGATACACGTAAAAATGAAATAATTGGCGCTGCATCTTTAATTATAGAACGTAAATTTATACACAATTGTGCTATAGTAAGTATACTGAATAAAAATGAAACTTAAAAATCTCATGCATTAACAAAAACAAACATTTTTCTAAATTAGCGTGGACGTTTGGAAGATGTGGTGGTAAATGATACCTACCGTGGCAAACAATTGGGTAAACTGTAAGTGTTTTTATACATAAATTATAAGGAATAGTTTAATTATAAATTTATCTTCTTAAAAAAAAAACAGCATTGTGGTAACCGTTTCCCTTTTGGCTCAATATTTGGGTTGCTATAAAATGTCTTTGGATTGTAAGGATAAATTGATTAAGTTCTATGAAACTTTGGGTTATGTTTTAATACCCGGCAATTCAAATTCAATGACCATACGTTATGATGAATCTCCAGTTGTTAAACAGAATTTAACTGCTTTCAATGGCGCTGTCAGTGGTGATGCTTGCCAAACCGTGAGCCTCGATTTTAACTCTTGACAATTAGCCGCCAGTACTGCCGCTAAATCAAAACTTTAAATTGTTTAAAATTATAAACCTAAACAGCTGTAAATATAAGTATGAAAATTCGTTTTCAAATGTTTAGATTGTTATTACGGCTGTTATTTTTCCCCAGGAAAGAAACAAGGCCTGTTACTTTAAATTGAAAAGAACTTTTCTTATATTAATGTTGAAAACATTAAAAAAAAATACTAATTTTATTTGTTGTTTTTAATACAAATATAAACAAGAAAAGTTCTTTCGATTTTTATAGAATTTTTATGTTATATGTTCTTTTCTGGTGTTTATAATTTTCTAAGAAAAACAATTTTAAGTTCTGATTTCTCAAAGCTTTGTCAGAAAGAGCATATTTTCCAATATTCTCTTGGCTTTGAGGGCAGTGCTGGCAATAGTTGCTTGGCTAGTAGTGTGTAGACTTAGTCAAGTATTATTTGCTTTAGTACTTAATTCCTATATTATTCTAATTACATATTAACAATAAATAGTCTTTCCAAATTATTTAAAAATTTCTTTAATATTTCAATAATATTTTCTTCTTTTTCTTTAATAAATGATGCTCTTAACATTGTCATTTTGCAAAAATTTGCTTTATATTTATTTGATGACGGATTCATCAAATTTAAATAGAAAATTTATACATTTTTTTGCCACGCGCCCTTGCAGTCACGTTTACTTGTAGATTTGATGAAATATGTGAATGAAATTTATTTGATAATTTAGATTATAATTGTTTAAATTTACTTTTACTTTATGTGCATCTATTTATTAAAAATATACCCGATACTTTAAGTTTATCATAGTTTATGAAGTCTTTCTTTATATACATTTACATACATAGTTATAAGGGTATTTCCCTTATAAGTCTTCCCTTATAAGTCTTATATTTTTTAATATCGTTTAACCTTATATAACTGAACATTTCTGTATAAAATGAGAGAATGATATAATAATGATTAGTAATATATAGGATCAACATTTCCTTTACTACATCAAAATATAAAGTATCAACTGTTTCCTCTGTTGCCTCAAATAGTCTTAAAATGTCTAAAGGCCGATTATAACGTTAGACAGACAGATGCATTGACAAGCAACAACACCTTCTCGGCAAGTGGCATGAAATTTCATAAAGTGTTTTCTATATTTTGTGCTTCGTGATTTTATTCTAAATTCACGAGTTATTTTTAAAATATTTGAATTTTATTTCAAAATTTTTTTTTTAATTTATTTAAATGAAAATGTGTGTCTGTGTTTTTTCTTAAATAATGCAGATGGAAGTGAAGATGTGCATGTTAGCAGGTTGTATATACAAATTGAAAAAGATTTTTAATAATTTTCTTTTTTAAGATTTAAAAAAAAAATGTTACAGAATTCATCATTAATGAAAAGTGTAAAAATGAAAAATTACAGTGCATTTTCTTTTTGAAATTTTATGGTATTCAATTAATTTTAATTACATTTAGAGGCGTTTGAATCGTGTCAGTGAAGGTGAATTTTTAATTAATGTAATGTGAAATTTTTAAATATAAATTTAAATCGTCAGTATCTAATTGCAAAATATTGTTAAGATCATTTCAAAGATCTTTCTTATCTAGAACCAAGTTTTTTGTAAAGTTAGATTCGTTAAACAAATCAAGAGTTTTTCTATGGAAAAGTTGTGATCTTGGCAAAGATCGTTTCCATATTGTAGATCTGATCTTGAAGAAAATAACAAAGTTGTGATCTTTATATTTCTATAGAAAATTTGTGACCTTCAAAAGATTTTTTTTGGTAGTTGTTATCTTGGCAAAGATCCTTTCTATATTGGAGTTCTTATCTTGATGAAAAATATAATATTGATAATCTTGACGAAGAACTTTTCTACAGAAAAGTTGGGTTCTTCAAAAAAAAAAAAACATTTCTGTAGAAAAGTTATGGTCTAAACAAAGCATTTTTCTATAGAAATGTTGTGATTTGGACAAATATTTTTTCTGAGGAAATGTTGTGATCTTGTCAATGAACTTTTCTATAGAACATTTGTGATCTTGTGAACTTAGTAATGAACTATTATTTAAAAAATTTGATTTTGAAAAATAAAAAGATGTGTTCTTGACAAAAAACTTTTCTATAGAAAAGATGTGATCTTGGCTAAGTCTTTTTCTATATGTTGTGATCTTGCCAATGATCTTTTCTATAGAAAATTTGTGATCTTGTTACTGCATTTTTCTACCAAAAAGTTGTGATCTAGAAAATTAACGTCTGCATAAAAAAGTTATGGTCAAAATAAAGAACTTTTCTATGGAAAAATTTTGATCTTGTCTAAAAAGTTTCTATAGAAGTGTTGTGTTGCCAATGAACTTTTCTATAGAAAATGTGTGATGTAGACAATGATCGTCTGTAAGAAAAAATCTCTAAACATCTGTATAAGAGTTATGGTCTAAACAAAGAACTCTTCTATAGAAAAGTAGTGATCTTGGAAAAGATTTTTTCTGTAGAAATATGTTATGATCTTGCCAATAAATTTTTCTATAAAAAATTTGTAACCTTGCAACTGAATTTTTTCTTTTCGGAAAACACTCATTGAGTCCAATTCCATTTAGTTCCGAAAATTTTGTAATCTTTCTTAATTTATTGCCTTAACACTCACCGTTGGATCGCAACACCTTTCACAAGAGCAAATAAATTGTTTTGTCATGGCCAAGAAAACCCTTCTAGCCAATGTACTCCACAGTAACTTAGCATAAGCCATAACAATTTCCTCACCCTTAGCTATGGGTCGAGCAGCTGTTAACACAATAGTTTCACCATCTTCAAAATGATGATTTGCATTCGGTGTACACTTGTGGTTTAGTAGACCGGCCAAAGGAAACAAAGCACGTACCAATACCTCATGGCCACCCACACAACTGCGGCCTTCAAATGCATTTGTATTATAAGCACAAATAGTACGATAGAAATAATCCAACATATCTGATTCCTTGGGAAAATATTCAAAACAATTGGAGGCATTTAAAACCTCTTTCATATAATATTTATCGGCGTTAGCTTGCAGGGCATAGAGTAATTTACGCTGTAATTCATTTAAACGGAAACAACGTATTATGGAAACTATACGCAAAGCATGACGATTGATTTTGGTAGTATCTTTAGGTTTCCATTTGCGAAATAACAAACACTCCATGGCATGTCTATCGGAGGTTATGCATTTATCACATACCGGCATTGTGCAACCATTTTTACACATTATTTCCTCATCACTGCCCTCGAGAAGACAATAACACACACAGCAGGTATTTAAAGTGGAGGACATATTGGCTGTAGGTCCCGCCAGTATGGCATGTTCACGCAAAATAACTTCACCCACGGCTATATCCCTGGTGGCAAATATACCTCTGCCAGATATGGGCGAATCCAAAACTTGCCATGCCGGATCTTTTTCTAAAAGTTCACCTAAATGCACATTTATCAATTCGGCCAATTCCTGCGTGGAAACACTTATAGACATGGACATTTTGATATTTATTGTTATTATTTTTTAATTTATTGGAATTTTATTTAAAATGCTTTGCGTAACAGTTATTTTTATATATTTTTTTTCTTATTGTATTAAGCTTTTTCCTTATACTCTAGTACACACGATCTTTAACTTGAACACATTTTTTCCCGACTACCGATACCGTTTAAATTCTATTGCCAACTAAAAAAACTATCACGACACATTACAAAAAAGTTAAAATTTCCTAAGAAAATCAAAATCACAACACAAATGATCTCTCGCTACTATGCTCGGCTAATAAAATAGATTCAACTCAACCAATTTTTATCGGCCAAAATAAACAGAAAAAAATACACAATAACAAAATCAAAGCAGATAAAACTAAATTCATTAAATTGTGTGGAAAAATAAAATATTTGGAAATAGTGGGAGGTAGTATTTGTTTAACATTTCGAGAAAATAAATGCACTCAAAAATAGTTTTTGATTTTAGAAAAAATTTGAATGAAAACTTTTTTTCTTTAAAACAATTTGATTAACCCATTAAGGAACTGTTAAGGGAAAATGCGGTAGCAAAGTTTTAGCAAAAGTTGTAAAAAAGAAGGTTTGTGATCTTGTGCACAAAACTTTTCTATAGAAAAGCTTGTGATCTTGTGCACAGAACTTTTCTATAGAACAGTTTGTTATCTTGTGAACAAACCTTTTTTATATAGAAAAGTTTTTCTATAGAAAAATTTGTGATCATGTGCCCAGAAGTTTTCTATAGAAAAGTTTGTGATCTTGTACAAAGTTTTTGATCTTGTGCACACAACTTTTATATAGAACAGTTTGTTATCTTGTGAAAAGTTTGTGATCTTGTGCACAGAACTTTTTTTTATAAAGTTTTCGATCTTTTGAACAAAGCTTTTCCATAGAAAAGTTTGTGATCTTGTGAACTGATTTTTTTGTATCTTGTGATCTTGTGAATATATCTTTTTATAGAAGAATTTTTGATCTCTTGAACAGAACTTTCTATGCAAAAGTTTTTGATCTTGTAAACTGAACTTTTCTACAGAAAAGTTTATAATCATGTACAAAGAAGTTTTCTGTAGAAAAGTTTGTGATCTTATGCAAAGTTTTTGATCCTGTGCACACAACTTTTCTATAGAACAGTTTGTTGTCTTATGAACAAACCTTTTCTATAGAAAAGTTTGTAATCTTGTGCACAGAACTTTTCTATACTATGTTTACGTTCTTTTGAACAAAACTTTTCTATAGAATTGTTTGTATTCTTGTGAATAGAACTTTTCTCCAAAAAGCTTAGGAACTTGTTTAAAAAAGTGAAAGCTCTTAAGTGATTAAACTATTTAATATTCATTTTAGTTATTTCAACAATTGTTTTAAAAAAATCCTAAAAAAATAAACACTTTTTATTTGTCTACCAAACAACAACAGTCTACACATTTTGTCAAAATATTTCAAAACTTTTGCCAGCAAGCAAGCTCACAACAATACACATGACATTGTCATTTACTCGAACAATTAATCAAGTAATCAAAGAGAAATGCGGCGACAAATTGTTTTAAAACAAGTACGATCGTACGATTTTTAAGTAAAACACCTAAAAGTATGCTGTCGTATAAACTTGAATAGAAAGGAAAGCTTTTTCAAAAACTTCATGGGGTTGTGGAATCCGATAAAAAGGTAAAGCTTTTGTTATAGTATAGATCATCATGGTCAGTTATTTATGCTTAAGAGCTTTTTTAGTTTATTGCTAAACTTTTCATATCGTTTTGAAATGAATAAAAAAGTTCTATTATATGTTTTCTATCAACCAGACAGATGATAAAATGTAAATTTGAAAATCTGTAAAAAGTTTTTCGAATCAAAAAAGGAATTGTTGCCCTGAAATTTAAATTTTTTAATTTAGATATTATTCATTTTTAAAGTATTTCTTTTTTCTGAAAATTCGAAATTTTCTTGTGATTTTATTTTAACATACCAGAAAAAGCACCTCCACCTTTAACTTTGTAAACAAATTGTTGTCGTCGATTTT